ATTTTCTTAGTACTACAATTATTGGCATAGAAACAAAGAGAGAGAATCCAGATTTTTATTAAATGTTGCTACGCATTGGTCAGCATTTTGTCTGCAGGGATGTTGAGGATAAAATATAAAAGCTACAACTTTTGACACTGGCAGAGATAAGGAGGGAAACGTTCAGAGTGAGAGGAGGGAAATGGACGGACTAATGAGGTGAGGGTTAGTCTGGCACAGATGTTGTACATGACACGGTTCATAGACCTTCCATTGACAGGATGTAGCAAGCCTGACAACACACACATGTAAACACAAACAGCAGAAAATTGTTTATTTTGGCAGCAATTTTCCATCTTCATCCTAAAATGATATGTTCATGTTCGTTCTTGAGATCAACAAAGATGAACTTTGTGCATATTAGAACTATGGCTCCTTTCCAGTTTATTACAGCCGAATCCAAACAGAAACCACTGTGAACATGGAAAAATTTTTACACGACGAGGAAGACGACACACAGCAGTTCAGTTTCTGACAACTTGTAAGATATGATCACAGTTTCCCGTTCTGCTCAAATTATGTGGAGTTTGTTAAAAACTGAAACCTCTAACTAATGATATAAATGGCACTGTACCATGTTATTATCATTCCAGGTTAAAATTAAACTAAAGATGTTTCATTCCTCTTCACAGGATCCTCCGGTTCTTCCCGTTGACCAGTTCAGTGAAAAGTTTGTTCACTTCATCACTCAGTGGTGAGTCCGTCTTTGTCACTGTTTAATAAATTTGATTCCTGAAAACCAGTTTTAATTAATGTCTTCCAGTTTTAAATGTAATTTTATTTGTGTTCAGTAATTATTGACTTTGTGGTGCCACAGTCAACCACCTGAGTCCCAGAGAGCCAGACTGAACTATTACCAGGACCACAAGCTGCATTTAACACAGATCTGTGAGCTAAATTATTATTGTAGATGAATCCTAGGTATAAGGGATTACAATGAGATTAAAGTGCATTTGCTTGTGTGCATCAATGCATTGTGGATTTAATGGTTTTAGCTGGTACATTCAGTGCTACTGATATTGAAAAAAAAGCTGAAAAGAGGAGTGATTGATTTATCTAATGCAACAGGACAAAAACAATGTTTACATTGGGTTCGCCTCGGATTCAATAGCCTCTTTTAACCTTTACAGTTACACAGACATCTGCATACCCACTCCAACCAAATGCAAGCAGTGTGTGTGTGTTTGTGTGTGTGCGCACTCAGTTCTCTCTAGCTGGTTTACCAGCTGTTGTTTAATCCCCATGCCACCTTTATTTACTTAAACAGCACACCTCTCTCTCAGGACAGACTGAGGAGAGGGGACCTGCTCTGCATTGGTGCAGGACCCGCACTAGGTTCTCCCAGGCTATTCTTCTGGGGTCATGGCCCATTTATTGTCGTACATAAACCAGTAACATGACTGAAGACAAGTCCCCAGTGTGGGTTGTTTTGATAGATTGTGTATACACGCCGTGGAGGACACACAGAGAAACAAACACATATTGAATCAACTGCCCCAGTTGTTGCATTATGAGTAATAGTAAATATTAATTAATTGATTTCATTTGAAATAAAGCTACTGTGTTTTAAGGCTGATGTGGTTTTTGTCTATGAAACTGCTTTCAGTTTCTGTGGAATGAATAGTTTTGTTTCAGTCCTCCTCTTGAACATTCATGCTGTTAAATGAATGAACAAAAACAAGTCTTGGTCTCTTACGAACACAGTTTGAATGGTGGCTGGATATAAACTGATTGTATCTCTTTTTTCAGTATGCGGCGGCAACCCAAAGAGAGGCCTGCCCCCAATAACCTCATGGTAAGTTAAACCAAGCCTTCCATTAAGTTGTTCCAAGGACCACCCAATATAGGTTTTGAATAACTGTGTACAGAAGGTGATCATATCCGTGCATTCCAATAAAAATTCAATTCAACGTAATTTATTATCTCTGTAGTTTTGGAAGATACTGTTATGTTTAGCGCAATAATTGGGTTGTTGTGGATCAAGGACCCCCCCAAAGTTGTCATTGCTGTGTGGAAACAACAGCAATGAACTTCTTGCTACCAATGAAAATTGTCAGACAGAGGTCAGCTAGAAACCTTGAGATAGGATTAAGATCTACTTCAGTAACAATTCCTTTAATTCACTGCATTGGAGCTGAACTGAATGGATCAGGCCTAGCTGCTGCACAAGAGTCACATAATTCTAGTTTACCAAATTAAGTTTAATAGCCTAATGAAATTGTGAGCAAGGGACAAAAAGAAAGTTTAAGTGTGTTTGGACCATTTTTAGTTTATTAACACAGTGAGGACATTTTGGCAGGTTATCTTTTAAATTTCAGAGTTGAGACTCAGTTATTAGGTTCGGCTTGAATTGGGTTTGGGGTTAGTGGTGGAGTACATGTGTGTCTGTGTGCGTTTTTGTTGTGGGGTTTGTCAAGGCTTCAGTTAAAATTTTGGTTGCACTGACTTAAGAGCACAATTAAACCATAACTTCAATTTGTAAGGTGATTTTCCAAACTGGTTATAGAAACAAACCTTTTTTTTGGGGGGGGGGGGCACCTTTATGAATTATAAATTTGTTCCAGATGTTTGTCTTTTAAAACATCTTACTAGTGTTGTTGAAACTTGGAGGCCTGTTACATGTCCTGTGTCCCTGTCCCAGTGTCCCTGCTGTTAACAGTAGATCAGTGGTGCAAGAAATCACTGTCTGCCCGCCCTTCGAAAAAAGTACAGTGACTAATATTGAGCTCTAAATAATAATTTGCACATCACCGATACCGATATCTTTGAACCATTCGGGTCAGCCCTAGTAGAGGTATCAATTTAACACGTTACTGTACAGAACATAATTCACTGTCAAAATCTTTAAGGTTTACTGTCTTTTACGTGACCTCATATCTCATCTGTAAATTAGCATTATAGAGACCAGCACTGTTTTTTTGAAAGCACTTTATTTGTGTGCCACAGATTGAAGTAAAAAATTGAAGTACGTACGTACATGCTTCATTCAAATTAAAACAGGAAATATTGAAATGTTTGAGTAAGTAGAAATAAATGATAAATGTCCATTCATCTCCTGAAGAGCTTATACTGCTGTAGGTGTCACAGAGTGATTCAACAACTTTAAACCCAAAAGATGCTGTTAAGGTTCAAGTCCACTAAACAATTCACATAATATTCAAAGGTTCTGAATACTGTACGTACGCAGACGAATCAATGTTAATCTAAAACTGTGAAAATAAATGCAATCAAAGAGGACCAATTTAATGAAACAAAAGATAATATAATACTGACAGTAGGTCAAATACATTCAGGGACATTTCTTTGAGTCTGGTTTCTAAGATGTAAAGTTCTGAAGCACAAAAATAATTATTCATGTCATATATGCAGGCATTTGGATAACAAGGTCCGAAGGTCCAATGTTTTAGTTTTTTTCCTGCATACAATTGGTAAAGTAGGCCTTTGAAAAAACTGAAAGCTTTGATGTTAACAAACCGTAAACTTGTGTTTTTTTATTATGCCATACAATTACCTGTATTCCTTTACCCTATTCTGTGACTCTGGGATTGAGTTGAGCTTAAGTTCCAGCTCTCCCTGTCAGGAGAAGCCAAACCGTCCAACGTGGACTCAGATTTTTGCAGTTTTTAACACATTAGACTACAGCAGTTTGCACCAACTGCCTTTTAAGAGTTGCAACATGCTCGGTTTTCTGTGTCAGCACCAAGGACAGCGACAGTCGGGTCCACAGAGAGAGGACGGGGGAAGGATTGTGTTGCGGGGCTGGAGGGTGTGAATGCAGACCTGCTAACAGATTGTATGTTCTCAGTCTCACACCACAAAGGGGGAGTAGAGGGGAATGTTGTCGAGACACTCATTGGGAATTCTTGCCTCCGGACAAAAGTGGTTCTCTTCAGAGTGAGACCGTGAGGGACTGTTTTTGAGGAAGTTGCTGCTCAATTTTTACGTAACTTGTTCACCTTTATTTTAACTCAACTTCCATTGTTACTGGTTTGTTTGTCTGTCTGTTATTTATCAGTATATCGCAAAAACTGCTGGTCGGACTTCCACTACACCTGGTGGAAAGATGTGCTATCAGTTACGAAAGCACCCGTTAAATTTTGTTGCAGTTCCGGATCAGGGGGCGGTTCCAGGAATGTTTTTGTCACTTTTCTTCAACATTGTGATATTTGCAACGTTTTGGTTTATTTCTCAGAGAATAACTCATGGGTCTGGATAAAAAAAAAAAAAAAGAATGAGGCATGTTTAAGGGACTGATATTTATGAGTTGTGGGCATTTTGGTGCAGTGAATTTAAATGTGGTTTGGTGAGGTGAATGCTCTGAGTACCTTTCTAGTTTGTGACACCATTTACTCAAATCATTCATTCTTGCGTGAATCTTTCAAAAAAAAAAAAAAGATTGTCGTGGAGATGATGTTGATAGTTTGACACTTTCTCATTCTCTTTCCATACTGGGGCTTCTGTTTGTAATCACTGTACACTATTGTAGTTTTGGCTACACAACAACTTAGCTGAGACGCTGCTGTGGATCGATAGGATCCTGGTTTGTTCCTGTGCCTCCTCAGATGTGGCCCTGACATCTCCAGCAGGACCTCACATCCTAAAATATCCATTTGCCGGCATTATTAGGTTTGATACACTGTGTCTTCATGTCAGACAGTATGTGAAGGCCTTTAGTTTGGCTGAAGGAACAACTAACATATCATCTTAACTGCATTTGTCCTCATACCTTGAACAAGAATACAATCATACTTGATGAGACTGAACTACACTTACCTAGCTGTACACTAACTCTTTTTCCACAGTGTGTTGTTGTGATTTCTTCTGTCCCTCAGTACTTGGTTTCACAAGCAATTCTTAATTCAAACCCAAAAAGGACAATGGTTACATCAAACTTCTATTACCAATACTTATCAGACAATATAAGACCTTCACCAATGAATGGTCAATTTATCATCTGTTATATGAACACATTTTATCCAGGACCCCTGTAAACCCAGTTATCCAGTTCTACTGCAAGTTTTCACAAATTTTAAAGTCGGTGTGCAAGTAGATGGGAGCTGTCGAATAAAAGACAAAAAAAGGAACATTTTATCTTAAAGAACTTAATCTGGGGAGTTTTTCTCCACCAGAAAAATAAGGAGCAACATTATTCAGAGTGGGTCTTCTTTTCTGTTATCGTACTGGACACAACAGAGAACAGGAGGAAGAAGTTCTCAGAGCAGGTTCAATTAGACTGTGTCTTGGATCACGGAGATGTGTTCTCCTTTTAAATCTGGACCACAGATATCTTGAAATAGACTTGGAAGTGATTGGTCAGGATTGGATGGACCCAATGTTTCTTTTCTCAAAAAGTGAGAGGACCTCAATGCTTGTCTCCGTTTTATCTCCCACTGCAAATCTTTGGAGTAGATAGAAAAATAAAATGCATAGGACTCCGAGTGCAAGGTTTCTGTGCATGACAATTTTTATTGGATTTACATCTATCGTCTTGGCAGAACAAATCAGTTGAAAGGTCTGATAAATTGAATGATTCTGTCTTCACTGATGTATGAGTACACAACATGTACACACAGCCCGCAAAGAATATTTGTTGCTTTGATGAACAAGAAGTTTTTCTTCTTTTCTTCTCACGTGGTATGAAGTATCGACTCTGGGTTTTTTTGCTGTTTCCTCTTCAGTTTTGTTGGAAAGCATCAGTGTTATTATATCTTATAAGTTATATCTTTTCATCACAATATTGTTCAACCATATAGGCTGCTTTTCAATCTTTGTAGTTTTGAAATGCTTCAGGTGATCGTAACTCACACGGTGACATTTCTTAGCACTGTCATCCACATTCCCACTCTGCCCCAATTTATTCACATTCATTGCGATCTCTGTGCTCTTGATTTAAATTCTCACTGTTCTCTCTTGTCTTTTTTTGACTCCCTCTTTTCCTCGACCCCTCTCGTCTTTCCTTTACCTATATTTTTGTCCTCCTGTAGGCCTTTCATTTCTTCCTTCGCCCGTGATGAACTGAAATATAAGGTCATGGATGCCTGCCTCTGTGGCACCAGCCTGCTGATTGTCTTTCTCTCTCCTCCTCCTATTCCTTATTCCCTCTTTCCTCCCCACTTCTCCCTCTACCTCCCCATTCCCCCAGCCTCCCAAGTACATTAAAACTCTTACCTATTCTATCTGTATGTTAATGCACCTTGCCACATTTCCCCTTTCCCCCCCTTCGTCTGCTGTACAGAAAGTGCGACCATTTGCTCTCAGTTTTTATCTGTGCAACTCATTTCTCCTGGTAGGTAATGTGGGAAATCACACACAAGTGTACACACTGAGCAAATAATGTTATTTTATGACCATACTATTCAACCGGTAGCTCTAGTTTGCTCATCAGGTTTCAGCATGTGGTTTCTCTAATCACTGGTATAGCTTTTATTGATGTTGTTATTGTCACTGGGATTTGAGCCTATTAGACGTTCTTTAAAGGGCTGCTGTTTGATTGCATGCCTGCTCTTGATGGGTTCTGTCCCTGAAGCTTGACGCAGTCTGTTACAACTAGTGTTGAATTTTTTAACAAAGACTGAGACTAAATATGTTTGTCAACAACCTTTTTTTTTTTTTTTTTCCATGACTGAGGCGAGACAATGACGAGCCGTCCCTGACGTCATTGAATAACAACTGTTGCTGTGTATCAGCAGACAGTATCATTGATGATTCGAGAAGGGCACTTAGAGAGCTCATACCCTCACCAACGCACAACACTTATGAGGCCACATTTAGATTGACCAGATGCAGATCTTTATT